CCAATAGACTCCAACAACATATCAAGAAAATCATTCATTATGACCAATTGGGGTTCATGTCAGGTATGCAGGGATGGTTCAACATTAGAAAAACAATCAACGTCATCCACCACATAAATAAAACAAAGGAGAACTACATGATCATATCAATTGATACAGAAAAGGCATCTGATAAAATCCAACACACATTCCTGATCAAAACTCTCAGCAAAATAGGAATAGAAGGGACATTCCTCAACATAATAAAGCTTTGGCATGTATGCAAAACCAACAGCCAACATTATCCTCAATGGAGAGAGACTGAAACCATTCCTCTTGAGAACAGGAACCAGACAAGGATGCCCGCTATTACCACTTCTATTCAACACTGTACTGGAAGTCCTTGCCAGGGTCATAAAGCAAGAAAGGGAAATCAAAGGCATCCAAATTGTAAGGAAAAAGTCAACTATCCCTATTTACTGATGTATGATCCTATACCTAGAATACCCAAGAGACTCAGTCAAAAGTCTACCGGAACTAATTGAGAGATTTAGCATCGTGGCAGAATACAAGATTAATATCCAAAAATCAGTTGGATTCCTCTACACCAGCAAAGAGATTGCTGAAAAAGAAATAAAGAAATCAATACCATTTACAATTGTTGTTGTTATTTGCCGTCAAGTCGGCCCCGACTCATGCTATCAAAAAAATAAAATACTTGGGAATAAATCTTACCAGGGACACAAAAGAACTGTACAAAGATTACTATAAAAAACTACTTCAAGAAACCATAAGATACCTACATAAATGGAAGAACATCCCACGCTCGTGGATAGGAAGATTGAACACTGTGAAAATGTCAATTCTACCCAAAGCAATCCATACATTCAATGCAATCCCAGTACAGATCTCATCAACATTCTTTAGGGATATGGAAAAACCAATCACTAACTTTATATGGAAAGGAAAGAGATCCCAGATAAGCAAAGCACTATTGAAGAAGAAGAACAAAGTAGGAGGTCTCACACTGCCAGATCTCAAAACCTACTATAC